TTATTGAGAGTCTACGATTCTGATTTATATGAGATTGTTACTTTCAAATAAAATTTAACTTTAAAAGTATAAAATGTTAATTCTACTGAAGAAGAAGAAAAAATTTCTTTGCTCTAATACTTCTAAAAACAAATCGATCTCACATTGAAACATTATACTTTTTTAAAAGCTCTGGAGTTAAGCTAGAAATTGAAGGGTAGCAGACGTAAATTGATGCTATGCTAACCCATTCATAACGTTCGATAAATAAGCTTTATCGAACACATCATCCATTATGTTCAAGACAAACGTCTCCGACATAAATGTATTGATTTTTTTTCTCTCAAAATTTTGGTCATCATACAAACTGTCGAACTCTCTTCGCTATAAATGTTCTAGTTTTTATTTTATGGCACTTTTTTTTTCACTTTCACCTTGTATTCATAACCTTCATAACTAGGCTTTCGTGTAAAAAGTTTTTCTTTCTTTTTTCGTTCAATGACAATTTTCAGTCTGTTTCTACTATTTATTACCATATGTATTTTTGTTCAATGTCGATGGTACGATATAGCAGAGGTTCCATATTTTTTTTCTTCGGCTTTTGGAACCCTGAATGCAGACCCATGTAATAAGCGCATGGTGCGTAGCGTTTTTAAAAAGTATTTAAAAGTGCCTATTTTTGATTTACGTTTTTTAAAAGCCCTTAAAGGTGCTTATTTTATTCGGGGTCTGTAAAAAGTGCCTAATTTTCTACCTTTTGAAAAGAGATATTTTCTTTGTCATGTCGATTGTCGTCGTAAATTACAAAAAAAATGCACGATTTTCTCCGCAATATTTATCAGAGTTGTTCTTATCATGATTATGTAAAGTTTTTGAAAATGTTTTTGAATTTTATTGATTTTATGATTATAAAATAAAGAACTTTATAAACGATAGAAAAATTTTTTTTTATTACTGTGCAGATCCTAATTATGATTTTTTTTTTTTGGAAAGTGATTAAAAATATTTTTTGAGTGCTTAAAAAGTACTTAAAAGGTGCTTATTTTTTGTTGAAAAATCTGGCTACGCACCCTGAAGCATGAACACCGTTCGCAGAAATTTTTTTACTATCTCAGAAGAAAAAAATTTTTTTTAAAAAAATCCGCCTTTTCAAAGACTGTTTTTCTTTTTTCAAATTTCCTAGAAGAAAAGAAACATTCATTTTTACGCTTTTTCCGTCAGTGCAAAAGCGATTAAAAATTACATTCACATGATTTAAAATCACACATTGCAATTCTACTTACGCGATTTAAGATCGCACATCGTGTTTCGTATTTTCACGATTTTATATCAAATATCGCGTTTTGTATTCGCTTTATTTAAAAGCCACTTTTATGGATTCGTGTTCAAGTGACTCAAAAATTATGTATCGGAATTCGCATTCACGCTATTTTAATATCAATTATCGAGATTCGTATTCACGTGATTTTTAAAATAAAATATCGAAATTAGTATTCACGCTCTTTTAAAATCATAGATTCGTATTCACACAATTTAAATAAATAAATAAAACTTTGCATCGATATTTTTATTAAAACGTTGAATATATTCTGTCGATAAATGCTTCCTACATATCCTTTTTTCTTGCTAGAATATCGGAAATTTTTTCCATTATTTAAAATGTGTTTTCGCACATAACATTTTTGAATTTCCATTTTCAGTTTTTTTTTTTTTTTTTCTCCAAACTCATCCCTGTGGTGTGATGAATCCATATAGAGTTCTATAAAAATTAGACATTTTTTTAAAAAAAACCTTTGGTTTTCAAAAATTTTTGCCAAAACGAGCGTTAGCGATCAGGTGTGGATCCTTCAAGTATATCGTAGGTCTTTTTTGTAAAAGTATTTTCTAACAGAAACGAAGAACATTTCTTTCCCTTGTTTATTAAATAACTTATGCATTTTTCCTATTATTAATCTGTAATTATGTAACTTTCATTTGTTAATGTATATTTTTAACAATTTAATCTCTTACTAAGGACAGAATAAATTATCCGACGTATATCTGGGCTCGGACTAAAATTCTACTAGATCTGGTAGGCTCAGACCTTCAAAAGTGAACCCGAACTCGTCTCTATTTCCTTCAATTTTCGCAAGAAAGCGATGAAACGTTAAACTGTTAAATATAGAAATTTTTTACTCGCTCGATTTAATTAATAATGCAAGTATCTTTTTTATTTTATTTGGAACATGTACCAAGACTTTAATCATTTTAAATTTCCCTAAATTACTGCTGAATGAAATGAAAAATTAATTGGAATTTTAATTTAAATATTAAAATTCTATCAGTCATAAGCAAAATCTAGTTATTTCCTCTCTCTTTCCAATTTATTCTTCAATTTGTTCTTTTTTTTTGGGGGGGGGGGAACTAAGTGTATTCCTTTTAGAAGTTCTTTAATAGCTACTGTCATTCACATGTGTCGGCCCTTTTTATAGAGATAGAAAATGTTTGTTTACATCATTTGTCGACTGTTTGCTGATTCAGTTTGAAGATTTCAAACTTTCCTCCGCACTTCTGAAAATGTGTTTTGATGCTGTGTGATGTATGCTCGAGATTTTTCAGAAATTGCTTTGAATTGATAAGTTTGTTGTTGTATAGTTTCTTCTTTCAATGCTACGGATGGTGTTTTCAATATAAATGTAAACAACAATAATCTCAACCTGCTCTACTTCCGGCTAGAAAGTATACAGCTGCTTACTACACCTTATTCTGCGAGGCGATATTTTCAAACAGATAAATTTTGTTTTTAATGAAAGAAAATATGTAATTTCTGATCTCAAATCCGCTGTATTTCATAAAATATTAATGATATTAATAAATTCTGGTGAGTTAGAAGTAAAAATTTGTCTTAGTTATTTATAGATGTAGTGTTAAAAAAAGATGACATGGTTGCTAGATAAGTAAAGAACTCGCGTTTTTGGCACTTCCGATTTGGCCTCTTTTCTCTTGTTTATTACTGTTTATTCTTGTTGCAAGCCGTGCTTTATCGTATGTTAGTGTTAGCACATTGTTCGAGCAGCGAAATTAAGTTCATTTTACATTAACATTTAGGTAACACCTCTTTAATATTCGTATCAAAAATTAATATAAAAAATACAAGTGAATGGCAAATCAAAATTAAACAAAAAAAAAGCTATGTGAATCAAAGTTAGGGAAAGAGAAACACCAAAACCTGTTTTAAAGAATTCAAAGGGGAGTTGAAAGACGATTATTAGAAATAATTTAAGTTTCACCCTGCAATCAAACGTATTTTGATCATCCTGACAGATGTGTCAAATTCTAATTGAACACTCTTTCTTTTCTCGTATAAACATTGATTTAAATAATATGGATAAAATGAATAGTAATACTTTTATGCGCTCTATGTCGTTTTCCTTCGTAATAAGGATTCTAAAAACTTACAAGCATGGTTTTTACGAAATACTTAGCATAAACTCTACTTTGTCTCTTTCTACGATATAAGTTCTGCTGCCCATTTTTACGATATATATAAATTAGCTCTGTTCCGTTTTACAATAATTAGCTCTACTGCTTTTTTATGGAATCAAATAACTGCGCCGTACTTTTATTCGTTCTATATCCGTTTTACGACTTTTAAGAACTTAGCTATCCTTTTCTACTAATTTAATCCTTATTTACCTTTTCTTCACCTATTTAAAAAAGCTCTGCTGTTCATATCTATGGTATTTAGAAGCTCTGTTGCCCTTTTTTACGGTAATAAATACATTATATTTATCCTCTTTCTTCTAGTTTTGCATTTTGTTGTATTTTGACTGTATTTTTTTCTAAAGTAATTTACATTTTTCGTAGTATTTACGCTGTATTCCCATAATATTGTTTTATTGTGGAAAAAGAATATCACCGAATTAAAACAAAATTGTTGTTGCTTTCAAAAATTTCATGAAACTATTTCATACTTTTTCTTGTTTTATATCTATATTTTATTATACTGTTAAATTGCACAGAACCCGCGCTAAGCATTCGCCAACTCGCCAAATGCGATAGAATCGTAAAGTTGGCGGGAAAAAATGTGTTTTGTCGAATGATTTTTTCTACCGAAAAGAAATATATATTTTACCTTCAATCCTGTGTAAAAGAAGAAGAAAAAAATCGACAGAAATTTTTCTGAACAAATTCCGTATTTTTTACTCGATTACAATAATTTCCGCTAAATACATCTCAGATGTTGTAATAAACGAGAGAGATTATGTAAGCATGAGTCAAACTACCTTAAAATACAGATTACCACATTCATTGCCGATTCACGCGATGTCAAGCAAAAAAAAGAAACTTCCTACTGTTTGTATCAATAAAACATATTATGTGGTAGCAAGAATGTATACAGAATATGAGGCAGATTATGAATATTATCATCATCCTAAAATATTTTCAGAATATATATTTTCTCGTGACAGTAACGTATACAATAGCGTGGTCATAACATAATGTTGCCTAAGAAGTTATCAAAAATTAACCCAACCTATTCTTTTTTCGTCCTTTCTCCCATTCATTGCTCCCCAACTGCTAAATACTCATGATTTGAATTTGCATTTTATAAAATAATTCAATTTGTATTTTGATTTGAAGTTTTCTATGTTAAAAAAATCAATCATAAGAAATTGTTAAGATTTGACTTTGGCTAAGAAATTTGATATTTAGCTCATTTGAAGACCTTAACGCGGGCTCTGTTCATTTAGAATTACTACCTAATAAATATTAAATCTAACGGTTAGGTGACATTTTCACAGAATTTAAAAAAGAGAAAAAAAAGGTTTACTGATACTGTTGTAAGTAACTGTTGAGAATGAACTTTAAAAACTGTATAAGGAAATTTGCTGTTTGTTATTATTTCGGAATAAGCGCACCTACTATAAATTTCTATTCTGTATCTTGCAGATTTATAAAATATTTCATGATTTTTTTTTACTGTATTCTTATTTAGATGAACATTAGAAATTGAATTTTTTTTTTTTTTTCCCTTGCAGATTATGAATTCAGACGAATACGGGCTAATGATGCAACATACAATGCCCTTTTTAACTACGCGGTGAGTACTCAATATAATGATCTACAATGATGATGTATGTTTAACATGTTTTTCAATAATGTCTTGATATGTCTTATTTCAGAACAATTATATTAAAACATCAAAGTATACCTTCCTGACATTTGCCCCCCTCAATCTTTTTGAACAATTTCAGAGATTGGCAAATTTTTACTTCCTTTGTCTATTAGTCCTCCAGGTAAGTGTCATTTCTTTTATTATTAAATCATTTCTACTCTTCTAGGTGAAGAAAATTAAAAGGTCATTTATGTGTTAAATTCTCATTAATTGTTTTTTTTATTCATTTAGCACGGTTCCCAGTAGATCACCGAAGTCAAGCATCCCTGGTTGCGGTCAGTGTGCGGGTGGGTGACCACTTGGATCAGTCTGCGTAGGGACCGAGGGTGTGCGGTATGGGTCCTCGTAAACTATTTTACCGTAAAGTGCTCGCCTTCGCGTGCAGATCGTCAAGCTACCGAAACGGGGCTGCCATCCCCTCTGCAGAGGATCAAAATTGCGATGGCATGTCTTCGGATCATCCTCAGGGATGCTTCCCAGACCGTCGCCAATAGCCCATTGTGCAGCTCTAGTGCGACGTAAATGAACAAATCAAATCTTATTTGTTCAGTTTGTACCCTAATCTTCTTTTTTTTTTTAAGATTTAGGTTGCACTCTAATATTTATAGCTACCTTGAGTAAAAATCGCTTCTTGTCCTTTTCTTATTATCAGGGCTCGAAAAAACTCACAAATTTTACCCGTCCCCGAGGACGGCTTGTCCAGCAATGCACCCTTCCTCCTTTGAAACTACCCCGTCACATCCAAATAAATAAAAATATAATTTTCTCTTATTTATTACAAACATTTATATAAATTGCACAATTAATTAGTAGTTACTAGGATTACAAATACTAGGATTGCATTATACAGTAATAAAAGGAATACTAGGTTACTAATAGGAACCTAGTATTTCTTTTATAAAATAATTTCTTTCTTTTTATGAAATAATTTCTTTCTTTTATGAAATAATTTAAATGACCAATGTCAAGTTATCTGGAATGTCAATTTTTCCGACTGCGTTTTTTAAATGAATCAAATATGACGTTTGCCAGTTCCACAATCAAGCTAATGATTTACAGAGGTTTCTGCACAAAAATCTGAAAGCGGTTTTCCATTTAGGTAGATGTTCATAATTGCGTTTAACGCTTCTTGTTTAAGACCAGTACGTAATGTTTTTTTTTTTTTTGT